AGAAAAGCCATCTCCACCCAAAGAACCAGCCTAACTTGAACCTTATTTACTTAAGTGTAACATGTAGCTGCATACGGTTAACCTAACCTGAACGTTGTATTATAATATGAAACTTCAAATACAACTGAAACTGCGAACTCAATTGTTTAAACTGTGTTAAACGTAGACGTGAAGGAATAATTGGACACACCTCTCGCTGTGCACAAATCCCTGAATTCACTGTCATTCAACCTTGGTCTGTAATAACTAAACAAAACGCACAATAGAGTCAAAAATGATTGCTCGCAAACTACTCAGGCAAGATTATTTTATTTCTTATTTTGAATCCCCAATTTGGGCGAGTGAATGTTGTGAAACAGACTCTTCACAAGTTAGGTTTTTTATGCTTTGTAGCACATGTGAGCCGGTCCTTAGTCGAGGCTTTTATCAAAAACGTCTAGGCAGCTGGCGGAAACTAATAAATACGTATTTTAACGAAAATGGTCCCCTTTTTATCGTGCAATAGCTGTGTAATACATTCATGTCACATATCTTCATCGCCGAGAGGTTCGTTGACAACTTTTGTGGACGATTTCCTTTTTAAACTTGGACGATACGAGTTAAAACATGTCGCTCAACAAAAACAACTGTTTCGTTCTACTTTCAGAATTCAGTGTGAGGTTGCATTCACTCAATTGTTAGCCCCATAGAGAATGCTCTTTCAATGTCTTCCTGAGTCGCTCCTCGACCGGCAAGTGCGTTTCTGGCTGGTTTTAAGTTTGAAAACCTTGGCACTTCGGAGAAGCACGGAGCGTCGACACAGAATCTATACGTTCGCTGAACACAAAATTCCTTGTTACGTGGAGCGTAAAGAGCATCAACCGCCAACAGAATATCACCGGTATCAAAGGACACTTTCTTACACCCTGCACATGTGGTTTGGGGCCGGCGGATCGATTCAACCGCTCCAAACGCCACACTTGTGGGTGATTACTCTGCGGGTCATTCCTAATCACTCTGTCAGCGTTACTCTGCGCATCGCTTGTGCTACTCTTAAAGACTAAGCGTTTCATACCTAAGGTGGGCTTTGGCTGAGTACACGGAGGTGGTGCGCGTTGAAAAATGGAGCGGACTTCCTCCTTCTGATTTTAAGTCTTAAGTCAATGAAAAACAATTCCTAAATGAAATAAAGGGTGATTTAAACTAACCTAGTAGTAAGATGAAATTCTACAAAAGCCATAATAAACTCTCAAAGTTTCTCTGGATGGGCATTTGTTTTGAGTCTTTGGAAAATGTAGACTGATTTAATGTTAGTTGTTAACAGAGATTTTTTTTAATCATAAATAAAAATGTTTTGACGCATGTTATTATCGCACTCGTACTACGATCGCGATCGGTTCATCAATTGAAAGTTTTCTTGAATTCCGGGTAGAGTGTAAGACTCAATTCCTTTTGAATGTGTACAAGTAAGCTTATAATCTCCGAAGGTATCTCTGTAAAACAGCGCGAAACTGCCTCTTTTAAAAGTCAGGACAGTCTAATGCACCACAAGACCACTATTTAACAAATAGAGAAGCCTTGACTGTGCTCTGTTCTGTTATAAAGCACGCAGGAAGCGGCTAGAGCACGAAAGAAGTGTAGGGAGAAACACGAGACGTAGTCGAGTGTTTCTCCCCACTTCTTGAGCACAGAACAGAGCACAGTCAGAACAGAGCACAGTCAAGGCTTCTCTATTTGTTTTATAATAAAGAATCCGTCAAATTCCCCATGCATTACTTCCAATTTTCAAAACAAACTTTATTTCCAAAGCGAACAACAATGTCGTCAGCATGCTCTATACTCTCATACAGCACGCTACAATAAGCCAATCAGAATCTCTGTTAGAATGGTTCAAATAATGTAATTGGCTCTACAAGACAAAAGCTGTCAAAAGTGTCAAACCATCAAAGTTAAAAAACCATCAAAGTTCACAATCTGCGATAGTTTCGGCAGGTCGATTTTAACGCTTTTGCCTGAAGTTTTTAATACAGAATCTTCAAGTGAAATGTTCAGTGAACTTCAGCCAAATTATGGCTCATAAAAAACACGCGAGTTTTTTCACATGATAAGGTAGAAAACAAACTGTTCAAGGCGAGTGTTTTTTAAATGAACTAAAGCCGAATTCACCGGAATATGAAGATCGCTCGGGATGACAGCGCCGCAAAACTCGCCTTTGTTTGGTTCTTCTGTTGCTACTTGCCGGCTCGCTTGTTCCGAAATTTTACTTTCAATTATCGGAAAAAAGCTAAAAAGAAGTCCCAGAAAGGTAGAACATAGTACAATTTGGCAGATGGCGTGACAGCTTTAGCTCAGTTCTATGCTCTATACTCTCATAGAGCATGCTCTTTCAACCAATGACAGCGCGCGTTATATCCGAACTTTATTATAACTTGTACTAAAAGATAACTTTAAAAACTTCTGGACTTTTAATTCTCCAAAAGTGATTTAATTCAGCGGTAACGAAACCAGACAGTAAGAAGATACTTGGCATGCTACCATTTCATTTTTGTTTTCAACTAATCGTGTGAAATAGTGAATTCTACCAATGTAAGCGATGAAATACCAAGGTTAAGAATAACTGCCGCACTGAGTGAGGCAAAAAACGGGAAGGATCGAAATAAATCACAATTCATCACAAGTCAGACTAAAACTCACCTTACTGTCGTTAGGATTAAAGCCTCCCAAACCTGATATTTTCAAAGCAAAATGTGTAAACAGTATTAGTACTTAAACATCTACGTAATTTTAATAAAAAACAAACCACTAAGTGGAACAAATTAAATGAAAAGAAAACTTACCATCCAGGTGAGAAGAATCCGCCATGTTTGCACTTTGCAGAACACATGTAGACCGCATGTAATTAAGACTATAAAAAGGCATTATGTCCATATTTGGATATTTTTGGCGGGAACTTTCGGGGCTCGCAAAAAATGGCTCCGGCTCGTTGAAAAAGGCTTAGGCTCGCAGACTCGCACAATAACAACCTCCAATCAATAGATGGCGAGATCGAGAATAGCGAGCTCCGCACTATTTACGATTTGGAAGCTAAATTGGCGGACGTATCCCTGCCTTTCAAAGAGACTGTGCCAGCAGCAGTGAAAGACTGGCTTAACGTACTCGCGCGTAGCCATGGAACAACTCGGGAGATGGTTCTGTTGAGTGTATTGACTTCAACTAGCGCGCTGATTGGAAAGAGCTCTCTACAGGTCTTCTCCACGTATGAAGAAGTGGGGAATCTTTTCGTTGTTGTGGTCTCCCCTTCAGGTTCTGGGAAAACACCTGCGTGCCATTTAGGATGTATCGATCCTATCGTGGAACATTTCGGGCCTAAAATAAACAAAAACCTTCGTTATCGATGACGCGTCGAGTAATGGCCTGTTCAACCACTTCACTACGGGCAATACCAACCCTATCATCTGTATCGACGAGGCCCACTCATTTCTAACGAGGATTACGAGTTTATCGAAAGGTCCTCAAGCGAATCTGACCATGGAACGGCTATGCAAGTGTTACGACGGCGATTGCTGGTACGTGCTGAAGGGCAACAAGGGTAAGCGTACAGGGGTCCCGTCGGCACGAGTCTCGTTCCTTGCGTTCACTACCCCAAAGCAGTTCCTCGAAACGGTTTGCCCGAAGATGTTGTCTGCCGAAAATGGCCTGGCCGAGCGAGTGCTTCTTTTCTACCACAAAAAGGAGGAGAAAGACTCGGAGGTAATGGCCCAGCATTGCGAAGAGCTGGATAATTATCCTATCCAGTCTCAATAGTGCTTGAGCAAATTTACGTAGAACATAACAATGTTCCAACAGAAGTACTCCCTGAGTGCAAGTGCCCGTGAGGCTTTCCTCAGATTCGCTAAGCCTCAAGATAAGTTGCCAAGCACACAAGGGGCCAGCGTGGAAGGAAGGAAAGGAAGCCAACTGCAACAATTCTAAGCGAAACAAACACGTCCTCCGCCTTGCTCTTAGCATGCATGTACTATATGATCACCTGAGGACAGCCATAAATTTGGAGACAGGGGTAACAAGTCATAAAATTGCCTTGGAAACACTAAACATGGCAATCGCTCTTGTCCAAAGCCTCGAGATTTACAAGGGAATTTCGCACACTGTGAGTAGTAAAATATTGCACATGTACTTGTATGACTAGTTTCTTTGCTTGCTCTTATCGGTTATAAAACTGTTTTCTTTCCAGTAGTTTTCATACCCAAAAAAGTCTTCTGGGGAGGAGGGGAAGAAACATTTCTAGAACCACACACTCATTTTTTGGGGTATTAATTTTGGCATTTGAAAGGACCAGGTTTACAACTGTGACAACATCAATAATAGCAAGTTCAATACTGTACTTACAATTTAAGAATAAGAATGAAAACTTCTCCTGTGCTAACATTGTATCAAACTCTTGGTTATGGAACAAGGAAGCCAACATTCATGCGACCAGAATTACTCTATTTTTGTAGAAATTTTTATGTGTGCCCAGTCCTCCAAGGTGTCAAAACTTAAAAAAGAAATTCATTTTTTAAACCTCCCTGAGTGCCCTTGTGCATTTACACGTATGAATTAAGAAAGAAAAGGTATTTGCCATTTACCAGACCATGAAAATATAAACTCCAACTCAAAGTAAAATAATTTCAACTTATACTGTTTTTAAATTTACCTTTATTGTAGGCCAGCAAAATTAATGGCTCTGCTAAGGTGATAAACGTGGGTGTGGCAAATGAGGTTATTACCCTTAGAATCTTAACAATGAAAGGGCCATGCACAACTGCCTGCCGCATCAACACAAGCTTTTCCTTGCACTGCCATCCAAATGTCAATCTGGTCCAAAAGTCCATGCAAGATCTGGCAGCTGCTGGTCTTGGCATATTTAAAGTCATTAACAAACTGAAATTTTTTTATAAAATGCTGCCCATTGATGACCTTCAGCAGAAGCTGACCAAATATGACATCTCTGCACAAGACTACAGAACAACATTCCCGAGGGATGATGACAGGCTTACTGCTGCAAGCAATATCTTCACAATGTCAGAGGGTCATCCATTTCAAGCTGGACTCAATGCCTTTAGAGAGAGAGAAACATTGCCACCACTGCTTTAGCTGAAAAGAATGTTAAAACAATACTGTTACATGAAATTATTATGAACAACTTTAATAGAGATTTAATTGAGAGAAATTGAGAATACATGTACCTTTCAATTGATATTTATCTGAGGGAAATTGAGAATACTGTTAAATAGACATTTATTTAAGAGAAATTATGGAAGACATTGTGTAGGTCTAGAAAATATCCATACTACCCCCACAGATGGGGTTTAGAAATTCCAGGACAAGAGGGTAGGGTCTGAGAGACCCAAAAATTCAAAGCAATGTATGAAGCTAAATTGGAATTTCTGGAGGGTTGGTGGGGTTATAGGGAAGATACCTTTCGGGCTGGGGATATAGATAATTATATTCTGGAACTACGCATTCACTTGAGAGAAAATATTAATACCTGTAAATTGAGACATTTAATTGAAAGAAATTACAAACTACCTTTGAATAGAAACTGAGAAATTATAAATACCTAAAAATAGAGACATTTTAGAGAAAGAAAGTAAAGAGACATTTACTTAAAAGAAAATAGTTGAATACCAAAAAAAAAACAATATTTGTTATAAAATGTTACAGTCTTAAAATATGTTTGAATAATACAATGCAGTTACCTGACACTTAACATGTTATTCATTACAGATCCCATTTATACAGTTCTGGTTGTTAAATCGAATCTTTGCTAAAATTGAAACAAGCATAATTGATAAAGATGTTTTTATTTAAGTTACAGTTAAAATGCTACAGGTATTATGCATTATACAACCAAACAATGAAACAATACCCTTGATTCAAACTATGGACATGTTTGAATAGAGTGATTTCATAAGGGAAAAAGCAAATATGAAATTCTAATTCAATTTTTAGAATTTTATACAAAAGTCACACAGAAAAGTGATTCATTGCTGTCATAATATGCCTGCATGCCCATTTACAGGACAATCATTCCAATTACATTTAAATTTATGTTGCATAGAAATTTGCAACATATTGATATATCATGCATTATCATACTTAAATTTGATAAGGAGAAAATAAACTATAATGTATACCACACTAAGTCAACAAACATTTATGCCTGCTGATTGACTTTTACCATGTCAAAAATCCCAAACAGTTTTATGGGACACTTCACAGTCCTGGGGGTGCCCTCTTAATGAAGGTTCCACCCTATCATTGACAAATGATCTGGCCCAGGTTGTTCAAATCTGGGTTAAGATAACCCATGGTTAGCATGGAATTTGATTTCAGGTCTGAAAGCTGTAAATTCAGTTCAAAGCTTTTTGCTTGTAATTTGATCAATGGATGTTCAAAAAAGAATAGGGAAAAATTTCTCTAAAAGGCTTTGGAAAAAAGAAATATAGAAACCTGCATTAAAATTTAACCCTGGGCTAGCACTAATCGGCCTTTGAACAACTGGGCTCAGGTGATTTTCTTGTGCAATCTGGAGAATAATAAGCACTCAGAAAATTTTCAAATATATCCCTGCGGGCTAGTGTTATTTTGTGCTTGTTTATAACATGAGGTAATATTCGAAAAAACACTTTAAATGGATCCCATAGTATGATATCACGTACTACATAATCTTCAGGATTACTGGATGTTGGCCTTCTCTGATCACTCCCGATAACCACACCATGTTGCCACCATATTAAATTCGCATTCGATTCAGATGAATGAATGCTCAAAACAAGCTGTATAAATCTGTAACTTGCTTCCGAAATTGGCATGTTGTAGGCGTAGGAGCAGTCCAAGATGTTGAAAGCCACAAAAAGATACACAACTTTGGTAAAACACTTCATTTCTTGTGATAAAACTACGAATTTATCAAACCGTTCGACACAACCAATCTCTGACTAATGGGAAATACAGCTGGCGAAGGTATATGTGAGCCCGCACCATCGGGCTTTTTACTTCCGCTTGAACCGGAAATGAAAAAAAAACGTGGAACCAAGAGAACCAGAAGAACTAAGAGAACCACGAGGACCACGAGAACCAAGAAAACCAAGGAAACCACGAGAACCACAAGAACCAGAAATACACAATTACCGTTACTAAGAGTTAAATTAAGTGAAGTCAGATAGTACAAGAACCACAAGAACCAGAGAACTACCGAGAACTACACAATTACCGTGACTCAGTGTTAGATTTATGCGAAATCCGATAGTAAGCGATTCATGACGTCAGCTGTGGCTATTACACCGGGATCTGCCGAAAAAAGTCACAAGCATAAACAATAGACTGTTATCTTAAAAAAATCACACTTACCTTACGCAAGGCAACAGGTTAATTTTATTTGTATGTTACTTGCTTTAGGGACTTGTCAGAAATTAGCAGGGGGGGAGGGGGGTGGGAATTTTAAATTTGGGTTCGGAAATTAGGTGACCCATCCCTGCAATGGGAGTTAAATTTACTAACCCTCCCCTTAAGCTTAGCCTAAAATATCATGACCCTCCCCCTCTTGTATAAATGATAAAACAATGACAAGTAAAAAAAGGAAACAAAAACAAAATAAAAGGAAAGCAAAGAAAGCTAGGGCAACAAGAATGGAAGCTAACTGCAAAAGAGTTGTTGAAACCATTGCACCTCAGCAAGAGTCGCATAATGTTACAGAGCCTATTGGCCCATTATCTCTTCATTATGAAGGAATAAGTGGGCTACTCAAAACACGAAGGCCATATATCCAATATGCCTTTGAAAAGGGATTGTTCACCAAAGAATCACAGGACATTATCAAGCAATATCTACGCTTCAACTTAAATGAAAATCATGATGACGATGAAAGTGATTGTATCAATGCTGATGAGATAAATGATGATGATCAAGATTCTCACAGCAGCGTTGATGGTGATGCTGAAGACAGTGATGAATAAGATAGCCAGAACTCTACTAACATTATTAATAACAACATTATTCATAATTTCAATAAGACTATATAGCATTGTTATAAATGAAAAGTACATGTTTGTTAAATTCTTGCTATAGTACTTCACAGTTTATATCCATAACGTTCCGTAAACCGTTGTATTTTTCTCTTTTTTTTGCCAAATAAAGAACTTCCTTTTTCTTCTGTGGGTGAACCTCTACATGATCACGGGCAAATATTTGCATGACCCTCCCCTTTTAACTGCCCATTTTTCATGACCCCTCCCTTTTCTGAGGCTCAAAAAGTTGTGACCCCCCCTCTGTTTCCACCCCCCTCCCCCCCTGCTAATTTCTGACAAGTCCCTTACCTTTTACCGACTTGTCGAACGTGACAATCGACATTCGTTTACGCTGCATCCGTACATTTGTTGTTATAGAAACGAACAACGCTTCCCTCTGTTGTGAGTAAGAAACGAGTACATACCAAACGAACAACGCTTTTAGAATTGTTACTCAAACATATTTCAATTCCGAGCATACGATCGATTTCTGTGTGGTCAAAGTCTTCATGGTATTGATAGAAACCAAGAAAAAGTTTCTCAAGCTTACGAAACGTCCGTGAGTAAGAAACGATAACATACTAAACGAACAGCGCTGCATTTTGTTGTTGGAAACGAAAAACGTTTCCCTTTGTTGTTAGGAACGAACAACGCTTTAAGAATCTTCTGGTGTTGTCGGAAACAAAGAGCGCTTTAGTGATAAAAATTTCTCCACTTTATTGCCTATTAACAGTCTGAAATTCTGATCTTTTTAGTATTTGTTTCTTCGGACGACTTGACTTTTTTTTCGGGCGACATAACTAAAATTTCGGGCAACATGACTTAGGTTTCGGGCGACATGACTTCGGGCGAGATGACTCTCAGGCGATTTGACTGTAAAACCGTTTAAACACTCATACTTTAGAGGCATCTGCTTCCTAAGCTGCACGGAACACCTCATCTTGTTTACTCTGGAAAGCTCGTGATTCCAAAATCTTTCTCCTAGCGGTAATCAAGTAAGTTCAGAGACAATGAACACATTATAGGGTAACACAAGATCATTTGAAATAATTATAAATTGACCACTGTAAAGAGTTTCTAAGCATGCCTTTCGAGCGTTAGCCCTTCTTCAGGGTGTAGTTGATTATCAATCGTTGGAACAGTCAACAGAAGGTAGTGCTAAAGGAATTGTGGGTAGCACTCGTTACGTAACTATGCTTTGTTACAAAAGAGGAAATAAAAGTTTGGCGACAGGATTTACAACATAGACACTGAAACTCCTTACTTTTTCAGGCGGATTGGGTATTGTCTTAGCTGAGATGAGACTATTTATCGTTTCACATTTCCTGATCTATCTTTCTGTGATCCAATACTCAGGTAAGTGACTGTCCGACAAGATTAAATTATGTTAACTGTGTAAGTGCTAAATTAGAGATGTGTCAGTTCAAAGATAGATCGATCCTCATCCAGTGTATGGCTAATCCAAAGACACAGACGCCTTTTAAAAGATCACGGCTCTTTCGAGAGATAAGGCGCAACCAAATAACAAAGTAGTCGGGAACCGTTGCAGCTATCGAATGCTTTGGCATTCAGCTGTGTGCGCAAACAGAAACTATCAAGAGGCCTGTCGTCCAAATTTACATAAGTTCGCCTATCATTACGCTTTATAATTAATTATGTTTGCTGTCGGAAGCCAGAGAGGCTGTCTTAAAATTGCAGCCGATCATCATATTAACAACGATCGCTGAGAAGAATATTTATTTACATATATTTATATGATATAAAATAACGATATATTTAAATAACGATATATTTAAATAACGATATATTTAGATAAATCGTTATTTTCGTTGAGTAATCATTATACGGACGCCCAATCGTTCTGCACCAGTGCCTCCGATTATATGACTCAAGATCTGCTTCTCTTGTCTCACATTGTCAAGTAAACAGAAATTTAAGTTTACTCAGACATTCTCTATACACTAGTCCAGCATGAGAAAGGAACACTTGCCTCCAACGCGAGAAGCTTTTTTCCTCACTAGAGGGTCGTTGGATCTGTTGGTCATCATTACAATACATTCGTTAAGTGCGGTTGTTTCTCTTCCACTTCAGCTATTTTTGAAACAACAGCTAGTTATAGAATCAAAGCATGATGAAAAGCGCTTCAACCAAATGATGTCTCGATAATTAAACCTCCCGGACAATCAATCTTTAATGTTCTTGAGTTTGTTTGGGTATAACTAAAACCCTAACACTAACCTAAGAGCTTGAATAGGGATATTAAAGATATTCAAGTCGTGCTATTGCAGCAGAGAAATCGATTAAAATTGAGAACTCTCGTACATGCTCTTCTCTAAACTCGAAAGCGTGCTTTAGTTTGCCTTTCTCACTCATGAATGGGTCCTTGATGAATCCTAAATTTCCCCATATTGAGATCTTCCACTGCAGAAACCATCAATGCTATTCTTATCAGAACTATTCTTTAAACATGTAAACAGAAGAAATCATTAGCTTATGTCAAATTATTTCGAGAAGTTTCGACAAAAATCCGGACAAAAAGATTTTTGGCCTTGGCCGCAACTTTTTCGGTCATCTTCTGTTGTAAGGGACAAAATATTAATTGATCTTTCACAGCCGTAACCCCAAATGATTCGAAGAGGTTAAGCAGGGATGTAGGGATCTCGGTGATCTCTGCTGTATCTGTAACTCGGGTGTTCGAAAAAATGACGACGGTTAGCTGTATAATCACTTCTCTAAGCTTGATATGATCCCGAAATTGTAACGATAGGTCACGTGTCTTTAACGAGAAGCATTTTTTGGCCATGTCCTGGTAAGGGTTGTTCTCTTAGCCTTTTGTTGTTGTTTAATCATTCATCTAGGATCTTTAAAGTTGATTACAAATTAGGAACTTCTTGCATGCACAATAACAAGTTACAACAGGATATTTTAACTAAAATGGCGAGGTAGATTAAAGTCACTGCTAATTTAGAGTCTATTCCCAACTGGGTTTTTAGCATTGGTGTTGGTAACACCAATGCCGAATTCTCCTGGCTTTAAAAACCTTAGAAAACCTTGAAACCTTAGCAAACCTGCTGCTGAAAGGGCAGTTGATTGAGTCTGCCTGATTGAGTGCCAAATTGATAAATCTATACGATTTTTCATTGTCGCTTTTTAACAACAATTTATCAGAACTTTCACTTTTTATTACATACATTTTGAAATCACTGGAGATCCTTGCAATCTGATTGGCTCTCATCGGTGCGATTTACTCGCGAATCGCACCATTTTGTGCTCTAGATCGTATCTCTTCCCCAGCCAGTGAGACAGCTTTACTAAACCACAGCAAACAATCATACTTCAAGGCTTGTGTTAGGAAACAAATCAAATTGCAGGAAAATGGAAGAAAACTTTTGGAACTATTTGTATCTGGGCGACTGAATTTTGCGATTCCAAAAAAATGTATAATAAAATGGCCATTGAACTTCGTGTCGTGCAATTTTGGTCTGACGTGAAACTTGCGATTTCAAATCAAGCTGACGCGGCGAGCTCGTTCGCAATTGAAAAGCGCGCATATGATTTCAGACAAAATTGCTTTCCACTCAGTTCGATAGCCATTGTGCATTAGCTCATATGTCCCTTGCATTTCCGCAACGTGACTGAAAAAACAAAACAACCTGGATTCAGCTGTTTTCAGTTTGCGCTCAAATAACATGTGATCGATCCTTTCCTTTAACGACCAAAAATATTCAGTTTAAAACGGCGAAATTGTTACATAGAATGAACCTCTACCTCTAAAGATAGTATTGGTGCAGCTGCAGGAGATGAACTATACTGGATAGTGAAAAAGCCCTCTGTTTATGGTGGAATCACTCTCTTTTAAGCAAATAACTTTCCATTCAAGCAATACTCAATGTAGGTGTGAATAATCTTCGATTTCAGACTGTGGAAGTGTCACATGGTATGAACCTCTACCGGTTAAGACAGTATCGAGTGCAGGCGATGACCCAACTCCAGCAAAGGTAAAGCTTTTTGAAGGATATCCTGCATCTCTAAGCTGGAACTTCAGTTTGACGTCAGTGACTCTTTTTGCGGTGAATGTAAAGTTTAACGCTGAAAGTCTCGCATTAAGTGGACCGGGAGGATCAGGTGCAAAGGTGGCGCCTGCCTTTGAGGATAAGTTCAATTTCACTTGGATTTCCCAACGACTCACTTTGGTTATCTTCAGTGTGACTGCTGCATATGATGAAAGTAACGGGGAATTTAGCTGTCAGTTGTTTACTCTGGAAGGAGGGTGGGTCCGTAAGATTCAAGTGAAAATTGTTGGTAAGCGTTAATTACTCTAACTGGAAATTTATCATTTCGAGAGAATGGAAGTGAGACAAGAATGCATATAATTAAGAGAGATGCTGCATATAATTATGATGAAAGTAATAAAAATGCAGCTGAAGTTACCTACTGGGAATGGAGTGTGGATATTTAAGTTTTCCGTGGGAAACTACGAGGCTTTGAGCAGCGCGAGCCAGCGAGAGGTCTGCAATAGGTCAAGCACTGATTATTAGTGCCACGTCCCTGTGGAACCTCTCCTCGACTCGTCTCAAATATTCCAAGGGTGGAAAAACGCGCAGCCTGTAGCGCTACTAAAAATAAGTGCCTGCTCGCAGGCGATGAATTTAGATATCCGTATACCGACGGTTTTAATGACAATAGAGACGATTCGAGAGAGAATGATATCCTAAAATATTCAAAGGCCAGCATTACTACCTATGGCCTACCAATTTGTCTTTGACTTGACAACTTCAAAACAACGTTTTATTATAATTATAAAAGACAAAGGAGAACAACAAAATGCTTTATTTCATTCTAAAAGTTTAAAATGCTTTTTACCTTCCCTAATGCCCTTCCCTAAAGTAGCATAGCTAATTTTAAAGGGTTTTTCCAGACTGCCATGGAAGTTTTAACGCCACGGAATTTGCATAGCGTTTCCCTGCATTTAATACTCCTGGATGGAAACAACATATCCAGGGGTAAATATAACCGAATGCCTGTTCTTCGAATTAATCGGGTAACAGACGTGATCTCTGAAGAAAAAATGACTGCACAGTGTCATTCGCAAAAGATTAAGACGCAGTCTCTCTAGGTCTAAAGCCCCGTTCAAACGGTTCTTGATGGTTGATGATGGTTGAGAAAATCACGCAATGAGATCGCGTAATTGAAGACCAATATAGTGCGCAAATTTAAGTTAAGAAGTTGCGAGTTAAAGACACTGAAGCCTGCCAGATGATTAGAATGCACAGAGACATTCTGAGAAAATTTGGCAGCTACGTTTTACTGTTAGAACCCGTTTTTGGCAAAACTGCTGGCCGAAAAACTATTATTTACTATTATTTGCTCGCTCAAACGGCTGAAACTATCATCAACTTTCATCTCGAATTTGAACATGTCCAAACTGCATTATCGTTGATGATAGTTGAGGATAGTGCATGATAGTTCGTGATCAAACGTTTTTGATAGTTGAAACTATCATAGACTATCATGATCGTTTGAATTAGTTTGCCACATGACGAGCTTTGCTCAAGAAAAGAGTTCGCAGCAGGCATCGTAAACTGATGCCGAGGGTTGGGGAAGAAGGAGTCATCACATAAATTACACCACAATGTAATTACCAGACTTGGCGCCCACGAATCCGCGAGAGATACGCGATTGCGTGCGAGTTAACATGGGGTCATTTATTAACAATGAAAATCGAAGTAATGAAACATTAGGAAATTTGCTATGCGTAATGCTCAATAAAAAACTACGTTCTTTCTGATACTGCCTTTTTCCTCATTATTATGACGTTTCTAATCATGTAGTCTTTTTAAGACCTTCCCTTTTCACAGAAGAGGCAATGCCTGCTGGGCGCCGTATTTATAAAAGTCTCTGTTTCAATTATTTATGTATTCTTTCGCTTAGTTTGCCACATAACAGCAACAAACGTTATTTTCACGCCACTTGGTGCATCGATCAATGTTCACGCTTTCCGATCATTACAAAGTTATTGTTTTCGTACAAGACGTGGCGATCTCACGACTAAGCCACCTATCCTGGTTAAACTCTTACTAATATTTTAATATTAAACCTCGGCGAAATTTTCAAAATCGAAAAGCATCATTTTTTCGATTTCTAAATCATTGGAAGTGAAGTCATGGAGGCAGTCGGATTGTCGACGTGCGCCTTGCCCCCGGTTGACTTTACCGCTCAGAGTTTTTACAAGGTTACAAGTGCCATACTTGATCCTTCCAAGCATTGGTATCTACTTTTGAAAGAGGTATGTGGCGTCCCTCTGTGTAATTTTTCATACGCGATGTATTTAAGATATTTCCCGACGAAATCCAAAGTGTCGCCGCGCGGGAACTTCAGCCCGTCAAATCATCGTTTGGAGTTCTGGAGATGGACAGGATTCCCGACGTCGTTCACGTTGTGTCCACGTTCGGTCTAGTTACTGGTCTTCTTCGCAATAAAAAAATTCCCGACGAACGGGATTTATGGTTATCGTAAATCTGGTGAACTCCACCACATTGGACTTTGAGTCCGAGGGCGTGAAAAATTTATCTTTTGGCGCCAAAATCAGTCAAGACTCCGAGGAGCTCGTTTCCTTGCTTACCGAAAGATCAGCGAGAGTAAATTCCCTTTAAGTGGAAGTGAAGGAACTTCTAGCACGGATTTCCCATCTTGAATCGAGCACGGAGGCAAGTTTAGACGACTCTTCCCTTCCTAATTCCCCATGTTGCTCATCTACTCCATTAAGTTCGTCCAGTTCCTCGTGTAGTTCAATCGATGACACAAAGAACCGACCTGATTTAGGAACAATAAGCAAGAAACGACAAGTTCTTAAAAGGTGCAGGAAGATAACAGCTGTCCTTGATGACGTTTCTGAGAGGTACAATGGGTCCATCGCTGCCGTCCTCGGAAACAGCTTCTTGTACGGAACGGATGGGAAAGAGGAAAAAGTACAGGGTATTATCTCAGAAGTCCTTGATCTAATTATTACAAAATCAAAGGGTTCAAGGAATGGTCTGACCGAGCTTCTTTCACCACAAACACTCGCAAAGGAAAGAGTGGGGTGAGTTACTAACCGTAGAGGTTTTTGCATTCATTTAATTTAAGTATTTTGTTATTTATTTTATTCTCATTGCTTTGTTTCTACCGCGATGAGCTGTCGGTCATGTGATCCTTTTTCTTACCAGCAATGTAAACCTCAGGTAAGGTTGTATTTGACAAAATTCATAAGAGTTCTATTTCAAATTTCATGATTTCATTATTTGAGGATGATTTTGTGCATCGTGGTGAGACGTACAACATATTGATTTTTTTATGAGTTAAATTACATCTTACACCTTAGGTAAGGTATCCAGTTTTCAAATGATTCCTTCTGAGGGGAGAATTACATTTATTCATTCAGTTTTATGCCTTGAAAATCTGAACACGATATATAAAGCAATTATTGAGACTTCTCCTAGTGGGTTGTTTTGAAATGTATTTCTGAACATAACTGATGTCAACCTTTTTAATATTTATAAAGTGACAGTTGATCTAAACCTGTTTTCGGTTGATTTTTTTTTACAGAGAACTGAGGACACACCTGTACTGCTCACAAAAAATGAGATAAAAGCATTGAAGAAACTAGTCTTCTCTGCAGTGTAGAAAACATTCAGGATTTCCAGGGTCAAGGATGCAGTTTTGATGCTTGGAATGTGCATCTAAATTCTGTTCTTGTCTGGGCAATTAGGGAGCAACACTTCCATTCATACAACTCAGAAGACAAAGAGTTTAACATTAAACTCGATGGACGCCCTCTTGGAGGTGTGTTCTCATTTGAGTAAATTTTTTTAGACTTATTAGTCTTGAGTATGAAACTGTAATCCCTGCCAGATTAAGTAAAGGTGTCTTTGTATTGGTTTACTTTAGGTAAAGACCAAGTAGCTGTAGGCCTGGCACCTACTGATTTTAAAAACAAAAGCTTTGAGAGTGCATTGTCTATTTACCCCCTTGCAATTGGGAACTGTAAAGAGAAAAGGTAAGCGGTGATTTAAGTAAGTCAGTTCAAACAGTCAGTGAACAAAAATTATAACCTCATTTCTAATCATTTAAAAAAATAAAAGAAATACAGTTTAAAAATGTGTATTGGATCATAAGCTGGTGCATGCAGACAATAGTGCATGTTACTGGTTTTGAAGAGAAGACTTTGAATAATTTTAAAGGCTCTTCAAAGTAAGATCTCAGTGTACTTACATTATTGCCATCATTTTTGCTGTAAATAGTAGAATAATCAGATAAGTGGGATTGCATTAATGAAGTTGCTTTTGCAAGTGTTCTCTTTTAATTTTTTTCTCCTTTTTTATCTGGTCAAATTTAAAGCTATGCAAGAAAGTTACTCGAGAATTTCAATAATCAGAAAGATGTCATCAAAAAACATGGAATATGGGTTGATGGCAAAAGTACAACATTTATTTTACACATGACTTTTAATTGGAGAGATAGAAAGCTAAGGGGAAAAGTAAACTGCAAAATGACAAAGTTTGGAATTAATTAAGTAAAGCAGCTAAAACTTTCTGTTGAATTGAACATTCAGAGTTACTCACTGAAAAAAGGAAAAGAAAACATTCCATAAAGAGCCTAGTATTACTTCATTGCACAATAACATTGAGTCATTGTTTAAATTAAGTTAAATCATGTGGAGAAGTGAGTTTTCCTGAGACCCAATTTTTTTATTATCTGTTAAGTCTCGTGTTATGAACATCAAGGTATATTCTGTAATTGTTTTCTTAAATTTCCTGTTTCTGCTGTGACTCTTGATTACAAGGCCTTGCTGCTTCTTCTCAACAAAAAATAATGAAGATTTCCTTCTTGGTGAGAAAGGATATGGTGTGGAATTTTGTGCATTTTGTGATGCAATAAGGGTAATTAGTTCTCTTGATATTTTCCTTGCTTTTAATTATTCCATCAACTTATGATCAGTTCAGTTTTCTGAAAGTAGAATGGTATCAAGCCAAATTTGAGGTACTACATGGCCGTAGTGATAAACAGCTATCAATGATTTTATTTTGTTGAATTGAATGTTTATATCCATTGGTAAAATGCATTAAATTACCTAAGAAATAAATTTTAATTAAATACATATTTTCATTGAGGCCTGCACATGCCATGGAGTTGATGCAGATGAAACCTGTTTAGATTGTCTAAGGTCAAAAGCCAACATCGCAAGGTGATATTGTTATTTCATTACTGAAAATTTAATGAGAAAACTGCTAATTGTTTAAAATCTTCACATCTTTCTTTGAGCA